ATAGATATATTATATATGTACCATCAGGATCATATAGATAAATTATATATGTACCGTCCGGATCATTAGATATATTATTTACAGCTGAATAAACGGATATCCGAGGGTCTGGATCATATAGAGATTTTACGGATCCGGATAGTGAAATTTAGGTTTGGATATCCAGATCCGGATCCACTATATATTTTTAAAATATTTAAAATATAATTATTTTTAATAGATGAATATTGTATATAACTTTTATAAAACAAATAAAATTATTTTTTATTAAATTTCAATGATTTTGACCCGCACTTAAGAATGTTACAAATATTTTATTAATCTGTAAGAATTTTGACTATTGAAAACATTTTATATTTAATCATCATTTTTACTCCCGATTTGAACCCGCGGTCGAACTGGTAAACCCGGTGATTCGATATATCCCGATTTTTATTTTAATGAATCTATTATTTAAAAGTCCGATAAAATCCACAAAAATGGCTAAAATCTGAAACTAACCGTTTAAGCCGATGGGTAACCGATATGAAATCAAAATTATAAAAATTATGTTCATATGAAAATTAAAATAGTACAACTGGTTATGTTTATCTTAAAGGATTTAAAACTGAAATTAGGTATAATTAATCTTTTTTATTTGTTTCATGTTGATTAATGTTTATGTTAATATGTTATAATAAAAATTATCAAATATTTGTTTTCAAATACTTATTCTTTATTTAGACACTAAAGAATAAATTATATAACATATATTAGTTTTTATGATAAGTTCATATATGAATCATTTGCGGCTCCACCAATAAATAAATAATAATAATTTATATATAATTATATATAACTAATTCATTTATTTAATAATATTAAAAATTATTTTTATATCTAAAATAATTTAATATTTTAAAATAAATTTTACATTTTTATATAATAATATTTCACATATAAATATAATATAATTTATGTAATGAATAAGATTCATTATTTTCCAAATCTATTATACTATATAAATTTATTTTAAAATAAATATATTATTATACTATCTATTATGATAATTTTAAAATTTTATACTGCTACTGCTTTGCCAATCACCTTATTAAAAACTTTAAGGAAATCATACAGCTCCTGCGGCATAAGACTTCTACAACATATTACTACTTTATCATCTGCTATACCAATCGAGGTCTTAGTAGATTAGCGGTCAAAAGAGAATGAAATGAGAGAATTTAATGGTGAGGGCAAATCAAGAAGCAACATGAACACTAACCTATGATGGGTTTAGCTTTCTTAGATGTTTGTTGTTTAGCTAATTGTGGGCTTCAAAATATAAATAATTAGTTTTTCTAGTAACTAGTAAACATTAACCCTTGACTAGTTTTTGTCTTAACATATTGCCTATATTGAGAGAATTGATGAAATAATATTATTAGCAAAAATAGTATTGACAACAAATCTTTAAATCGTAAGACAAGGTTTTCAAGAATAAATGAAAAGTTTTTTAGAAATTCTTTAAATGGCAGAGATTGAAGAGATGTTATGGGCGGAAGCCCAACTAAAAGTTTCTACAACAGAGAAATAAATTTTCTTGTCAAATAAGAATCTTGATCTCACATACAGAAAATGGTGATTCGTCGCTGGTTCTTGGAAAGAAGAATCGAATTATACAGGATAATGATGGTTTTGAAGGAAAGACGGAGCAACTGAATAAATGATGGGAGCCATAAATATCCGCATGAGCCTATCAGCTTTACATGCTGAATGTAAAGCGTTGATTTGGGTAATAGAGTGCATGAAAACTTTACAGATCTTAGAAATGGTGTTTGCAACTAACTATTCTCAATTGAAAAAGGTAGTGTACACCAATAGAATAGTCAACTTTTGCTACACATATTGAGGAGTTCCTACGATGTAAGCTCCTTCCCCACCTTCACAATATGACATATTCCCAAGGTAAAGCCTACAATGACCAGTTTCAGTATACAAACATTAAGCTGTGGATAGTGAACAACATAAACATCTCTCATCTCATCATTATTTAGATAATCTAGTTATCAATTTCAACTGTCACGCTTATTATTTAAGATTGGAAACAAATCATTAGCCCTTACATATTTCAAATTAAAAAAAAATTAAATTTAGAACGCGCACAAAACCAAATAATTATCAATGACAAATCTCAAACATAAAACAAAACATCAAAAATATTTAAAAAAAATATATTTCTATAACTATTTTCTTGATTTATATTAATTAGCATACTAAGTTATTATTTATGTTTTCAAAAAGTAAAAATAAAACATCAAATAATTATCAATGACAAATCTCAAACATCAAAAATATTTTTAAAAATATATTTCTATAACTATTTTCTTGATTTATATTAATTATAATTTATATATCTTAATTTAAAATTTATTATTAGAAAATCATATTTTCAAGATAACAATATAATGCATAAGTTATTTATTTTCTGATAATATAATATGATAATTTGTTTAACTATATAATAATTATATAAGATTATAGAAATTATGACATATAATTAAAATTACCTAAAATCATTGAGAACTTAATGAATCAAAAAATTCACTTTTTAAATATTTTTTCTTGAGTTATGATTTATATTTAATTAATAATAGATAATTTTTTATTTTACTTTTAAATTATATAATATAAAAATATATTTTCAGGATAATAACATAATACATAAGAATTACCATATTCTCTAAAAGTATAATATTATTAGTGTAGATTTATTTCAATTATAGAATAACTACAACTTTTTATATCTTAATTTTAAATTTCTAAGAGAAAAATATATTTTCAAGACAGCAACTTAATACATAAGAAGTATTTTACTTTCTAAGAATCTGATACTATTAATAGAAATTTGTTTTAAATGTATAATAAATTATATAAAAATTATATAAATTGATAAATTATCAAAATTACCTAAAATCGTGGAAAAATTGACAAATCAGCAAACATCAAATCCACTTCTTAAATAATATTATAGATTTTTTACATGTAAATTTTAAATTTATAATAGAAAAATATTTTTTCTAGATAACATCATAATACATAAGAATTAACTTATTTTCTAAAAAATCATATTATTAATATAAATTATTTTTAATTATATAATCAATAATAAACAAAATTATAGAAATTCTGATAAATGATCAAAATTACCTAGGATCATGGAGAAAAATCAACAAATTCACTTTTCAAATAACTGTATGATGATTTATATTTAATTATGATATATTTAATTATTAATAATATAATTTTTATCTTAATTTTAAGTTTTATAATAAGAAAACATATTTTCAACATAACAACATAATCCATAATGATTATTTTATTTTAGAAAAATATTAAAATTTTAATATAAATTCGTCTTAATTATATCTAAATATTAAATTATTAATATAAATTCGTTTTAGATAAATAGAATTGTGTTTATATCTTAAATTAAAATTTTATTTTTATATATAAAAATATCTTTCAAGATAAAAACATAATTCACAAGAATTATCTTATTTACTAAAATATGATATATTAATATAAATTCGTTTTTATTAAATAATAATTTTATATCAAATTATTTAAATAAAATAAATAAAAAAATTTACCTAAAATCAAGGAGAAGTTGACAGAAAATTTACTTCTTAAATAATAGTATAGATAACACCCTCTTTATATTTTCGAAAAATCTAAACCAACACACATATAACCGAGAGCGAATTCATCGTTGGCAGATTGATTGTTTGGTTTAGCAAAACCAAACCAAATTGACCAATCCGTTTTTCTGAGGCGAGGGCACAATAGTCATAATATTAAAAGCCCTAGAAGAATACAGAGTGACCTATAAAAAGGGTTGCGCCACCACTTCTCTTCCAAAGCATAACATCAATCTCTTTGCTTCTTCGGCATCTTTTGTCCGTATGTCTGATATTTTCTTTTTCAACTGTCTTGTTTTGAATCTGCCTCCTTAGAGTAGCCGTATGAACCCTAAGTTCTTTAGGCAAATTTCATATCTGGCTTAGTTAGGAGGCACAAATCAATTCTGATCATTCAATACTTTTCTGTATTGATTGACTTTGTGCTTTTTGTTTCTTTTAAGGAGCTTCTGATTATATTTTGCTCAAATTAAGCTTCTTACCAGAAAGCTTCAGACATTAAATATCACTCTTTGTTTTTTTTTTTGTGTGTTACAAGATGAATGTGTATAGATAGCCTCCGAATAACGAGAAGGTGAAATATAGGAACACCTTCTGGTTCAGACAGAGGCTTATATCAAACTCGAATCAGATTTGAGTGGGTGAAAAAGCTTTTACTCTTTTTACCCATCGAAATCATCTTCCTTTTCTTGGATAGATTCGAATATTTGTTGAAATTTTGCTTTGCGAAGTTTGGTTTCGAAATGAAAAAAGAGTATAACATGTATTAATGACCTCCAGAATAAAACACATTCTTGAATCAGAGTTTGGTAAATGTCTGGAAACATGATTGAATTGTCTCTATGCTTCTGCAAAACTTGATCCTCTTTGGGAAGAACTTCATCCTGCAAGATATTCGTGAATCAAAATTTAGTTCTTATAACATGTTAATATTGATATCTATTTAGCTATCAGTCACCCGTCTCGGCTAACATGTTAACTTGTATCTCTGCATCCTCTTATCTACCCTATAAATCAATGCAACCTGTGGCCCGTGAATTTCATCCCTTTTAAAAGTATTCGTTAAAACCATAATTTCACTATTCTCATATAAGGTAGAATAAAAAATCAAACATGCTGACAGAAAAAAGAATCAATCATGTTAATTCATGGAAAAAAGTTTGTCAACTACACCGAATATAATGTAATATGGTGAAAAACATCTGAAGTATTAAAGTTTGTCAATAACATCATCTACTATATGATAATACATACCACATGTTCCAATTAAATAATTATATGGTGTAAACTACATAAATGGTTGTAATTGATTTTGTGATTTATTAATGGGGTCAATCGGTAATTAACAAGAACTTGAATAAAAACTTAAGAACCCGACCCAAACTAAATCTATAAACCCGACCAAACATAGAGAACATTAACCTGAAAATGCGAGGATTAAAGTTTTAGGGTTCGTAAAAGACAAGTGATTTGGAGATTTTGTAACATAGATGGAGAGAAAGAGACAGAGACACCAAGAGAGAGGGATCGACAGAGATTACCAACTCTAGCAACATCATTTCCTTTCCAAATGTATTTTGGGTGGAGCCGTTGGTGAAAGAGCCGCAGGAGACAAAGGTAGCTCCGGTTTGGATGGAGCAGTCATACTTGGAGACAGAACAAAGCTTTGCTTGAAACAAAATTTTGAAACATCATTAACAAGAAGTAGAAGAAAAAAAGAGAATCTTAAAATTTTGTGAGGTCGTTGCTAATTTATTATACATTTATTGTTTTAAATGTGTCTTTCTTTAGAAAAAACAATAAAAAAAATTCCTGAGAACAAAAGAGAATTTGTTTGTCTCTATGACTACATAGAAAAAAACAGAGGTGATTAAGGTTTCTAAAACCAAAAAAGTAAATCAATTTCCTTTCTTTAATTATTGGTAAATAGTTATTATGTTATGGTGAGACCATATGTTCTCTATTTCCTTGCCGAACCAGACGTTGAACTAAGCAAAGGACTCCACGAGGAAAAAATGTGTTTAGTGCTAATGTTGCTATTGGAAGATAGAATATATATATATATATATATATATATATATATATATATATATATATATATATTTACACTTGTGAATTTTGAGGAAGATTTGTGATTGTTTCTTCTAAGAGTTGATCTAAGATGTTAGAGGCTATATCTTCGGTTATGCTTCCTTCCAAATCTTTGAAGTTTTCTATAAACATGTCCTTTTTCAAAAAAAAGAAGAAGAGTTTTTCTATAAATCAAGTTTAATTCTTTACTAGATTTTGATCCGCGTAACAGCATTGATGTTTGTTTTTGTTTATAGTTGTTATATAGACATTTTGTTTTCACTTGTAAATTGGTATATATTATAGTAATCACATATTTACGATATGTATAGTAAATGTTTTTCAAACATAATAATACTATATAATAAGTGTTTCAAATTTTCTATATTATACATGTTTTTCAAACATGTGTTTGTTTCTTCTCCTATATTTTATTGTTTGTTAGATTAGTATTTCATTTTTAGTTAAAGTAATATAAATAGAGCTTGATTAAATATTAGTATACTTTAATTTGCAAAGATTAATATAAACTTCGAAGACATTTTTGCTAAAAACTAAACTTATAGCTTCAAGATTTTTTTAAACAATTTGTTTTTTTAAAATATAATTTTAAAAATATACATCAAAATTTAGGGTATATAAATATTCCATATTACTAATCTGTGATTTTTGTTAATATATTGTTGATGCATTTAACTATTATTGACATATTTCCTTATAAATAATAGAAGATTCCTAAATTTATATCTATTGACATATTTTACGTGACTAAGATGGAAGGTGTGTGTTAATTTACCAAAACCAAATTATTAAGCGTATCTTTGTTATTATAGATATGATTTTTCATAAGATATAATAATGATAAGATTATTAGAGCGTTAATGTAACATAACTTTCTAGTAATAGTATATTTTTTTAAAAAAAATCACATATGAAATCAAATCATGACTTCTGTTTTAATATATAAGATATTTGGTCGGGTTTGTAGACCTAGTTTAGGTCGGGTTTTAAGTTTTTAATTAAGTTTTTGTTAATTACCGATTGAACCCATTAATAAATTACAAAATCAATTAAAACCATTTATGTAGTTTATACCATATAGTTATTTTTTTTTTTTTTTGAAACACAACTTACTTTCATTCATACTTAACTTGTGCAGTTACAATAAAAAGAGGAAATTAAACATCCTCTTAGACTAAAATCATAAACAACTCTAGCAAAATAAGTTAAGATAGATAGTTCTTCATGAGAAGATGACAGCAAAATCAAGACAAAGCTTGACTGCATCGGTAATGCTTTCACGACAAAGTCGGTTAGCTGAGAAATAGTCACATGTGACGTTGAAAACCAGCTTTCACGTACGAGAGAAACCGAAGTAATCTCAGTTGCATCTTCAGGCCCCGTACAGACCGCTACGCAAGATTGCAAACCGGTGAAGAAACTGAAACTGATACTTGATAATGAAACCAAGGAAACATCTCCTTTCATATAAAGAAGGTATGGTGATAAAAGGTACTCGGTCGTGAAACCAAGGCCAGGTGAACCCACCTGTAAAATCATCCCATAGGAGAAATATGGCAATATGCAACGAGAGAAGCTGGAAATCTCGTACACAATAACCCAGCCATCAAAAATCAATAAAGATCTGATCATTATTTCAATACTTATGGGCTCTAGAACATTTAAACTTGAACTTCCAGACTTTGTAACACATATGGGCCAGGCCCAATCAAACTGAACAGACAGCTCACACTTTGCTGTCGAACTGGAAAGAAACGCGACGGATCTGGACTGTACCCCGGTATCGGAAGAGAAGACACCGGATAAGCTACGCCGGAGATGAACCGTACAGTCGCTGGAGAGGATACACGCCGGGGAAAATGGCTTCACTTTGAGCAGTGGAGATAATGAAGAGCTGCCGATGAAGTTCGGATCTACTCTCGTGAAACTTGTAGATCTGGTGTTGTATGACTGGAAAGGAGCAAACCACGGTGAGATGTTGGGCTCAGGTCTTCCCAAAAATGGAAAGAGAGAGCTCGTCGGTTGAAAATTGAGCTCCATAGGCGGTTTAATGGCTTGGACAGAGTCGACATCATGACTTGACCTACGGCAGCCAGAGGTAAATTCGACGGGAATACTCGCCGTGAACCTAAACAGAGCGGTGGTGAGAGAGCCCTCTCGACGCATCACCGAATCAGAGACCAATCGGAGTGAAAGAGTCGCCAGAAAGACTACGCCAAAGAACCGAAGCACTCGTCTTCGAGTTGAAGTCCGTTGAGATCTCATTCCTCCGAAAATCAAAGAGAAACAGGCCGGAAACACAGTGAAGAAGAAGAGCAGGAGAACAAAGGTAGGAGAGACAAGCAGCGCCGACATGAGAACCCAGCGCCGGCGAGAAACCGCTTCGCCGGCGCTACGGAACATGGTTCTTAAGGACGTCTCGGGGTTCGTGTCTGAGAGGCTAGGGCAAACTCTCTTTCTTAGTTTTCTCCACGTTAAACGGTGAAACTTTTTAGTATATACCATATAGTTATTTAGTTGGTACATGTGGTATGTATTATCATATAGTTGGTGATGTTATTAACATATTTTGATACTTCAGATGTTTTTCATCATAATACACCATACTTGGTGTAGTTTAGAAACTTTTTCCTTTAATTCATCCCTAAGTGGGTTTATTATATATTTTTTGCTAAAGATAAAATTTCGAGTACCCCATAAAAGCTTATCCACATACATAATAAATAGCTGAAGTGTACTTTCAGTCACCCCTCTGGCTACATGAAATTTTTGCTGTGATTATGGGAATGTTAGCCACTACAAGAAAATCTGTTTTTAACCACGATTTGTTTTGTAGCTATGATCAATATTTTGTAGCTATTTGAGTGATAGCCACAAATGACTACAAATTTGTTTTTGTAGCGTCCAGCTTGTGGATAATATTTAAATGTGGCTATTTGTGGTAACTGTTCTACAACCTAACCACAACGTTATTTTGTGGCTAATATCCACAAATGGTACCAAGTATATTTGTAGTTATATTAACCATTTTGCAACATATTAAATTGTGGCTAATTTGTAGATTTTTTAAAAAAATTATGAATTTTATAATAAATCATTATATAATAATTTTGTAATATATATACCATTTTATATCAATATTATATAATATATCGACAAAAATTGATTTATTGATAATTGTTTTTAATATGGTTTGCTGTCCAAAAAAATGTTTTTGATATGGTTTACAAATAATAATCTGGTTTAGAAATTAATTGGTTTACAAAAATGGTTTACACATATATTGGTTTAGAAACTTAAACCTAATGAAATAATCCTAAACTTAGTCTTGCGCCGTCTTGGATACTTGAGTTGCTCCGCCATCTCTAAACCCGTCGTTCTAGGCTATCACAAGCTTGACTGACGGTGACGAATCGACTTCAGAATGAAGTTGAGAGCGGCGATAGGCTTGAACGTGAGTTCCAACGAGCCAAGCTCTGGTGACTCAGTGAAGCTGTTGAAGAAGTTTTGAATTGAGACTGAAGCTGAGATTGTGGTGACAAAATGAAGAAGGTGTGACTTGAAACAGAAGCTGAGAGCGGCGAGATTTTGGGGCTTGAGCAGAGGAGATCTGGAGACTGGAGTGGAATCGCAGAAGAGATGTGAGTTGCGAGAACCAGATATGGTAACTAAGGCAGTGAATCTGTTAAAGGAAGTACGAACTGTGCGACAGATGTGAAACGGGAGGAAGAAGGTTATTCACGGGGAAGAAGAAAACTAATGAGATTAAGCACATCATCATCAACTCATGCCTAGTATGATGATGTTGGTATGTAGGAAGAAGAAGATATTGACACAAGAGGAAGGAGGAGATGAGAAAGAATGAAAGATAGAGAATGGGAACACGTTGAGAGAAAACAAAAAGAAGAGGAAAGATATGAAACAATCTGGACCATTAGATTGAATTTAATCAATGGTCTCGATTGTAATCCGCACCTTTGATGTATTACCCAATAAAAAATAAGATGATATTTTAACCTTTTTCTTTTGAATATATCTTACTTATCAATTTGCCGACACAAAAAGGTGTATAGTTTTGTTTAGTAATTAAAATTGTTCTGAAATGAGGGTTAATAGTTTAGGGTATAATGATTATTAATTCTTTTGTAATTTAGAGTTTTAGATTTAAGTTATAAGCTACCTTAAGGATTTATGATTTACTAAATATCATATTTATTTATAAAATAATATAGTCTTTCATATTAGCTAGATACACAGATGTATATATATATATATTTAGGGTTAATAGTTTAGGGTATATATATAATGATTATATTCGAAACTTTTAATTTGAAGTTTGTTATAAATGTTTGATTTTTTTAGACATTATGTTTATCTTTAATGAATTGTATGATTTAGTTTTTTAAAGTTTGATATTAGAGATTTAGGGTTTAGAACTATGTTTAGAATTTGAGATATGTTTAAGGATTATATCTGATAACATTATTATATTTGAGTTTATTACAATTGTTGGATTTTCTTGTGAAATGTTATTTATTGTTTTCAACAAATTTAGAGTTTAAGGTTTATATTTTATGATTAAAGATTAAATATTTAGATTTAGAGTATAATTAGGGAATAGATTTTCTTTGAATAGCCACAAATTATGTTGTTGTTATAAATTTCCACATGTTATTTTGTGGCTAAATGTGGATATTATTTTCTACAATTTAGTTTGTGGCTAATCATGACTAAATTTCTTCAGATAGCCACAAAATTAAATTTGTAGCTATTTAGCTACAAAAATCTTCAAAATAGCTACAAATTACAGATGGTGGCTATCTTATAGCTATTTGTGGTTTTAAAACAGCCACAAACAAAATCTGGTGGCTAATTTGTAGCTAAATACAACTTTTCTTGTAGTGAGCTCTTTTATGGATTGGGATGGTTATGCGTGTAACAGTTCTTGCAATATAAACGTCACATGGAAAAAATGTGTAAATCAAAACAGGTTCGTAAAACCGTAATATTCATTTTTCTCAGCTCTTATAGAATAAGAATATGATCACTAAAGGAATAATTACACTACCATGGCACCGTCCACTGAGAATTAATCAATGTTATCACTTATCAGAATCTTTTATAAAAAAACAACGAATAAAAGTTCAATAGCGTAAAATCCACGAGCCTCCGATCTATATTAAACCTCATGTCTGTCGTATTCTTTCTTTTACGTAGCACCATAAGGTAACATCATGGATCCACAATTCAAGACCGTGAACGAGAACGACTCGTCAGTTAAGCATACGACCAATGGTCATGGCGGTCATAATAATTACAATCCTTACGTCCAGACTACTAAACCTACCGCGGCTTCTGATAAGAGTAAGCAAAGCATGTAAAATATAATTACTTTATGAACATGTGTCTTTTAAGCATCTCTGTTCGATTATAAACCATGATTGATATGATGATGGATTGATGTAGGGTCGAAAGATAAGATTCTTCAGGTGGTGAATCGGTGCGGGAAGAAAATGGAGCAGATGACTCGTAAGGCTGAATCATTCGCTGACGGTTTGAAAGACCACCGTACGTGACATTTTCATATAGTTTTTTTTGGGGGGGAAATGTTAAGAGAGATTTTCATTTTCATATAGTTTAATTTCCTTCTTAATTAATGATGCCACGAAATGTTGTTAAATTAATTAAAATCTATGTGTATATATATCTTGACCAATCTAGTTGATCAATAGAATGTCTGGTTTGGTTTATAAAATAGATTGCAATTGTTTTTATAAACAAATTCCCTGATTAAATATTGCATTAATCAAATATACACACTTTTACTAACTGAAAAATATGAATTTTCAAGAATTTCGGATTACTTGTTTGGTTTATTTGTTAAAGTTAATTTTTGCTAGGCTTAGTTGTGAAATAACCAACAAAAAATAATTTAGTTTTCTTTTAGAGAGAGGGTAGAAAACAATATGAAGAAAAATGAGGAGAGAGGGGAGAGTTTTGGTTAGATAATGGTTTTTTTTTTTGGAGTGTTATTGAACCTAATTTCCCATTTTTGTTTTGTTTAGTCCAGTTAAAAAATATCTAATTTGATTTGAGGTTGGGTTAGTCTTATCCTTGAGATTTTGCATTTGGTAAAGTTTTATCTTTGAAATTTAACTAAACTCATCTCTTTGTTCTTTACGATATCGGACATGAACAGTGAAGTTTAGTCCTAGCTTAAGTGATGCAGCAAGGGCTAGGCTTGCTCAAGGCACAAAAATATTGGTTGAAGGAGGACCATACAGGGTGTTTAAAAGAGAGTTTGGTCTCTTAGCCGCAGAGAAACTCTTGGACTCGTTCGTTTGCTACATCTCGACCACTTCAGGACCAGTGACCGGAGTGTTATACATTTCGAGTAAAAGAATCGCTTTTTGTAGCGACTATGCTATCCGCAGTCCGTCCACTGGTGTTCCAGCTTATTATAAGGTCAGACTATATGACTCTTTTAACGTTCCATTTTTAGTCCATAATAACCAATAAGTGGTACTAATAAACATGTTGTATTATATTGTATTGATAGGTGGTGATGGAGTTGGGAAAGATAACGAGCATTAATTCATCATCGAACGTGTTAAAGCCAAGCGAGAGGTATGTGCACGTGGTGACACAAGATGGATTTGAGTTTTGGTTCATGGGTTTCGTCTCCTACATGGATGCTTTCAATTGTCTCAATAAAGCTCGGTTTAATTCCCATGCATTGTGATTCTGTCATGTAAACCAATTCTACGACTTTTTTTTCAGTTCGAATGAAGATTAAATTTCTAAGACCTTTTATTATCACTAATAATTCTATGACTCATAAGTCCATGTAAACTACACGGCATAGATAACTTGTTCATGGTCGTTGTTAATGAGTGCGGTATTAGATACTTTGAATTTGTGTAGTATACGTTTCTTCTACATCAAAATCTCTGCAATATGTATCTATAAACATAGTAATATATATATATATATATATATATATATATATATATATATATATTTAATATATGAACCCAAAAAAATATTTTTATTATATGTGAAATTTCATATTTTGGTAGTAATTTTTGTTATTCTTAAAATGAGGAAAACTTTTTTTTTTTTTTTTTTTTTTGAACACATAAAATGAGGAAAACAAATTATGAAAGTTTGTAGTGTAATTGGTTCTCATAGTTCGATCCCACTTCAAATGCGCACAATTTTAATCTTCAAAAAACACTTTGTAGTATTTGTTATAAAATGTATCATGTTGTGAAATAGAAGGTCTGTAAACTTGTAACTGTGTATATTATTATTGATGTCAAGATGCATATATATATATATATATATATGTCCTTAGACCGTCACAAAAAATAGATAAACCTAATCCTAATGGGATAAGGTTTACAACAAGGAGATAATCTTAAACCTAGATGGATTAGGATTACTACAACATATGGATAAATACAAGAAAAAAGATAATGATAAGATCTGCTTGCTGCAGATGGATAAGGACAATGCTGGCGCCTAGCTACAGATCTATGGACGAGCTGGTCCATTTCCCGGATATGGTCCAACCACCATTTCCATTTCTTAACACTCTCCCTTAGTTGATATATCCGACCAACATTTATTTTATGCTTTTGATGTTGCCTCATTAAAACATCTCCTGGAAAACCTCCAAAACCCAATGTGGTAAAAAGAGGAAACCAATGACATGACAAAAGAGTACAACACAGAAACTTCCCCTGATGAATGCATCAAGGCCGTATGAACTTCTTGGACTTCTTGTGTCTCTTCTGGAACTTCATTAAGACATGGTCAAGTCGTGCATCTTTGCAACTGACCATTCTATGTCCTGGTCGGATGGATGGCACTCGACTAGTATTCAGATGGACCTCTAATTTGCGTTCAGTCATTACTCGCAGGTCCTCTCATGTCCCACGGATCATCTAGTCATATGGCCTTGCCATACCGTGGACATTTTATATATATTGAGTCATAGACCCAAACAACTTGGCTTCTCACAGACATGCCTTTGTCTATTTGGACATACATCAGGCGTATGTGCTAATGGCTTATCCATTATAATCAATCTTTCTTTGTTATCATTTGGTCGATCCATGTTGAGTTACAGACCTTGTCTATACACGTCCATAAGCCATAAGTGTCTAAGATTATGTCATTAACAATCATTGCTGCAATGAGTTTTATGATCTCATCAAACTATGGATCTGCAGTCAAATACACTATGGACCTTATACATGGCTATCGATCTTTCTTTGCCTTTAGCAATGCCATATCCATTAGGCCTCGACCATACATACTTCTGATCACTCTCTTGGGCCATTGTGGTTCCATTTTATCCACTGATATAAACATAATGGTTGTGCTTACATGGCAGTCCCACACTATAACCTTGTTACTTAAAACATCTCATTCCATACTTTCTTTGATGGTGTCTCATGACCTTCTTGTAGTGGACCAAACCACGTACTGGAGTACATATATTAAGTCATGGACCTTGCCCACGCATGTCTGTAACTTGCCAATGAATGGCTAATATATTATAACCTAATGTTGCCGTAACAAAATGGCTTATGTGTGGTGATGTATATTTATAGTTTGGCGTACTACAATTAGTTCTTTAGAACTTTCTTCCTATCAATTATACAATAAACTATACATACTAATATGCAAGCTGATAGTTAGTACCTTATGGCTATATCACATTTTGGGTTAACATATTGGTCATCCCTTATGGACGATTGGGCTAGAAAGGAGCCGGACATGGTCTTGGTCGGCATGGACCTTTGGCATGGACCAGATGGCTTTCTTTGCCTTTTCCTATGTTCACTTACTATGTGGTTAGGGCGTGCTGATCTCAACACACATGCCAATAACTTAATCATTGAACCACTCATCCTTTCTACGGATTGGTTTAATACAAACACAAGGAATTCATACATCTTTTGTATAAACACATGGACTGATATAAATTTGTTCTTTATAGAACTCTCCACCAAGTATTCACTTAGTCTTTCAATACACAGCTGCTTTGTTCAGTCCATGAACAGCTTAGGAACAATGATGTTTTGAGAACTTCTTTCTCACTTTCTTTTCTCTCTTTGTCTTTCTTGGTTTGTTTTTTTTGGTACCAATAATCCAGTGAACCATATGCTACTTACTACATACTTATATGTCAACTTATGACCAGACATTTATCAATTTCGAAATCAAATTGGAAACTATGTAGTAGCATCCACCACATTGGAGTATATCTCCTTATAATCTGTTCCTTGATCTCTCGTGAGTATCCCTGTGTAATCAAACCATATTTGAATGCTTTAAATAGGAACATGAACACCTTAAGTTCACGTGGTTATATCCTATGTCTCATGTTTTTCTTTTCCTCACAAGACCTTATTTATCACTAGTTTATCTGATGGTGTTTCTATATGGCCAATACGCCCATCACTCTTTATATATACTCTGACCCAACGTTTCTTTTAGTCTTTATCTTTATGAGTACTCTTACGTGGGTTCATGATCCTTGCTTTATATGTCATATACATGTGATATATATCTTGCGCATTCTTATGTAAATACATCATTGGTATCGATACCCTTTCTGCATTCCTTTGTATTCCATTGTATTCCATTGTATTCCCGAAATCTCATAGTTGATTGCAATCTTATGACCTTTAATATCCTGGTGTTTTGGCGTTCCAAATCATCTTCAGTACCATGGGGTTTTGGCGTCCCAAACCCCACTATATGGTATCTTATATTTGTGGTCGACCATTTTCTATGTCTGGGATGGTTTCCATACAAACTCGGATTTGTTTTCAGCACCTTTGTCTTTCTTTTCCGAGTGTTCTTATCTTATGGAACTTATTGGTATATCTTATATAGACTCTGTAGCAACTTGATTGTGTCTCTCTAGGACATCAATTTCGTGGGTGCTAAGCTGGTATGACATAATCATTCTTTTCTTTCTTTTCGGATCAATGTGTCTGGCATCTTATTTGGCTAGCTTTGTATCATTTCTTTGATATCATATAGACGTCTTAACTCATTTTCTTTAGTCTGAGGATCTTGCCAAGACACTGATGGTTAATACTATTCTATTTCTCTTTATCATTATTTACTTTACCAGCTTATTACTTTCTCCTTTTCATGTTGGATATTCGGATTCATTTGACTCATGATCCGTGTACCTGGCCACATATCTGATCACCCATATTTGGCTCAAGGTCTCTTAAAACCTATGGGAGATATACATACTTATATCCAACATATATTCCCAATCCTCTTCTGAGGTTCCATCTTACACGGCACATATGCCTGTGGTGGTTTATTCAAAATCTCTTAAGATGGTATATGTATGGTTCATGACCCGTATTCAATATGAGATGTGAATATCTATGCTCACTTATATGGCCTGATGCATAACCTTATATACATGTAAATTCATGATGTCCCTAAGCTCTGGACGTGGACAAGATGTTATATAAAAGGGTCCAGCCGTTTATGGTCATAGACTATATGGTACACGGCTTTATCTTAGTATGGTCATGGATCACGGGATTTTTCCTTACTCCCCCTCATGAACATACTTATAATTCCATGGTGCTTAAGGCAATAAAGTTTGATGAGTTTCCCTTGTGTACATGTTACACAACGTGAGATCTTATAGGACAACTCTTTGTGCCATTTGCAATATCACACTTTGCATCAAGTTTAGACTAGGATGGCTAATCCAGTCTTGCCATATAGTGTTGAATTTCGTGTGGTACACCAATCAGGTTACCATGACTCTTGCCTCTTATCATACTGATCTCTGGCATAGTCTAGATCAGTAGAGTACGAAGGTATAGTCTTGACCACTTTCTTGTAAGGTCATAGGCAAATTTTTATTTTTAAATCTTAAGGAACCTCTTATTTCCTTTTGCCCATTGTTTCTACTTAGAAACCATTCATGTTTATACTCAATGGGCCACAAAATATTTGGGTGTATATAATGCCCTTTAGGCAATGCCTTGGCCATAGCCATCAACTAGACTACTATACCCAACCATTTGTACTCATGTTTGGCATTTTTATCAATCAAAATCATTCACATTTACCAAGCAAAACCAGGCAAGGTATAAGAGCAATAAAATGAACTTAAAACATTTTTATTATCATAGGAAAATTTGTGAATGACAATACGATCAAAACAAATCACTCAAAAACTTAACACAAAGTCAGAATGTTGAAATCTTATTTCCTTAGTCAATGTATAAACCGGCCTCACAATCTATATTTTGCCACTCGTATTCCTTGTTAACCACTTGGTCGAGTTTTTGAGACTCCATTTGGTTGAGTGTTTGAGACTTTATTTGGTTGAGTGTTTGTGACTCCTCATGGTCAATGTATGAGCTGTCCACATAATTCATATATTGGCTCGCGGCTTCCTCGGATTCCTCCTTATCATTTAGAGGAGGTCTCATCTCACTATTTCTTTGCTCAATGTATCTTTTCTGGAGCTTTTCAAATATGCTAATAGTATCTTTCACCTTCTGCTTCCTTTGCTCAATTCCAAAAGATATGACAGTAGGTCATTATAGGTGGTGAAACTCTTAGCCTTGTGTGTTAACAACACTTCCTTTGGATGGAATGTGGAGTAAGTTTTATAGAGTAAATCCTCATCTGTTACCACATCATCACATAGCTCGAACATATAGGCTATTTTCATCAGAGCAGAATTATATTGGTCCATGGATTCAAAATCCTGGAAACTGAGATCCTTCCATTCATTCATGGCCTTTTACCATAATGCCATTGAATATCTGGAATTTGGTTCTTTCCAAAGGTCACAAGGATCCTTAATATTTAGATACTGATCTCTCAGCTCCTCATTGAGATGTAGGCACATAACTTTTATGGCTCTATTTTTTTCACTTTC